GAGCTTTGTGACATGGACTGGGGGACACTTGTGCATTGCCATGGAAATGAACAAGCTGCCATCTGTCCTGGTGGAATCTGATGGCTGTGTCCTTGGACCACGCTTGGCGTCACCCTCTCTGGGAATCAGAGGGGCTCTATGTCCCAGCTCTGTGTCAGTTTCATTAGCGGCCGTTCAGTTCTGTGTGCCCAGCATATGGAGGCCATGAGGTTCTCCGGCAGAACTTGCAGGCTGGAAGCGAGCACAGCAAGGAGGGAGAGGCTTCCGTGTTACCTGTTGGCTACTTGGCCCACAGCTGCCCTCTAGGCAGCAGCCACACAGATGACGAGCTTGATGTCTCCCAGGGCCAGGGAGCGATGTGGTCATATGTGGCAATTTCAGGCTGTGCAGGCCTCTGGGGCAGCAGGGCCCACCTACTACAAAGTGTTTGCAAAGCTGGCCAGTGGCAGCTCCTCATGAACCAGGCCCACACAACTTTTGTAACCACTCCCTGCCTGGAGGACGTCTTGCCAGAGAGCTTTGGTAGAGAAAATGAGAAGATACAACATTTAATGCTTTGTGTAATGAGGCCTGAAATAGATGACAGCTGAGATCCAGGCCCCTGGCTACCAGCAAGGTGTTTAAATATTGACAATCCATAAAAGCCTCCCGCTCCACTCCAACTTGCTATCAGCCTGAGCCACAGAGGTCGAGGTCAGCTTTCTCAGCTTTTGAGGCTGAAAGCCCACTTGGGTTCTGCTAATGATCTGAAAGGGGAAACCATCAGCAACATTCTTTCAAACCTGAGGTAATAAAATGAACACAGCAGCAAGATTTTTAGCTGTCATTGAGAAAGGCGGTGCCTTTCAGGTCAGTCTCATGTCCAACCCTCCTTTGTGGGGTCCGTTTCCACATTCCAACAGGGACAGCCTTGCTGAATACAGACCTCCAACTGACTTCTGCACAAGGTGTAGAGCCCAGCAAGAAGCCAAGCAACAGCCAATCAGTTCTTATTCACAGTTTTGCTGATGCCTAGAAGCTGGGCATCAGTAGCTGGTGTCCTGTTTCCTGCCTGACAACAACTGGAGAAGTCGTTCATGGCCCTCAGGCAGCCCTCACCTGAGCGTCCAGATCTTCCTGCTCTTACAAAGTGCTGAGACTCAGTCACCGGAGTTAAGGCTCAAAGCAGGCAGAGGCATCTGGCTGGTAAGGCGTTACGCCTTCCACAGCTGTGATCTTGTACACGAGGACATTGGATCCAAAGACACATTAGTGTGCTGGACTCAACAGGGGGAGGCCTGGCTGGCTTTTTGTTATTTAAACTTGACTTTTTATGTTGAGGTCACTGTAAAGTCTCATTCAGTCATAAGGAATAATACAAAGGCATTTGGGTATCCTTACTTGCTTTCCTCCAGTAGCACGATCTGTCCTATGTCACAGCCAGGATGTTGACAGTGACACAGCGGAGGCACAATTGAGGCACAAAATACCTCCTCCGGAGCTCTCTGAGAGCCACCTCTCTGCTGGGATAATAGACATCAAGGCAGACAGGTGTCTAGGTAGAAGGAAATCACCTGGGGAGACTCAGCTGTGGTTATCTACATCGGGCTTCTTACTCTGCATCACTGACCCAACTGGTAATGGGTTGACTCTTAAGGACGTCTTCTCAGAATGGCTTTAGACACTTGAAGTGGGACTGGAGAAGGACATTGATTATCACGGTAATGCTTCAATTACTTAGAGGCAAGTGAAAGCTCTTGGTAGCACATGTCTGCTAGCACAGACATGATTGTGGGTTATTTTCCTTCGTGATGCTTGTTCAGTTACGTAGTTCATTTCAAAGGTGTGTGGAGACAGTTAGATTTAGGTGATCTGTGACCATTATTTTAGGGCAACTGAGAAGCCTAAATCCTTCACAAATTTATTGACTAAGGAGGTCTGCAGAGTCTACAAACAGCCATAATTTCAAAGTCACAACAAGTGTAAACAAAACTGAAATATTGGCAACAGCTGGAATGTCACGTGTGAGTAACCCTGATTTCCACAGCTGGCAAAGTCTAGACGCTTCTGCTACTCAAGAGGCTTTTCATCTGTTTCTGTGGGTGACTTATGCTTTTACCCTCTTGCCATATACAACTTCTTATGTTGAAGTCCTAACCACCTGTACCTCAGAATGACCTGATTTGGAAACAGAGTGATTGCAGATCTATTTAGTTAAAATGACCTGGTCAACTAGGGTACTGTGACTCCTAATTAGTGTGGACTAGTGGTCTTACAAGAAGAGAGAATTGGAGTTGGTCAAAGTACAATGAGAGGGCCCCAGGAAAAGGAAGGGCAATGCATTTCCGAGCCAAGGAGCAGCAGGGATGGCCTGTAGCTACCAGAAGTTAGGAGAAAAGCAGAACAAATTTTTACTCAGTCATAAGAAGCAAATAACTCTGCTGACTTCTTTCTCTTGGACTTCTAGCTTCCAGAGCAGTAAAAGATTGCTGTTGATTAAGCTGCCCAGTACTTTGTTATGACTGTAGCACACTAATACCCCTCCATTCATAATGAACAGAAATGCTAAATTTCAGTTAGAAGGTAATAAAAAGACAGCTGTGGGTTTTTTGCCATCCAAGTTTATGGAGTTGCTGAATTATACCCATAGGCTTTGTCCATGAGTCTGTTTTCTGTTGCTATAACACATACTCAAGGATATATACTTTATAAAAGAAAGAGGTTTACTTAAGATCACAGTGCTGGAGATTAGAGAGCAGGGTGCTGGTGGCTGCTTGGCTCTGGTGAGGGCCTCCCTGGCTGCATCACAATACGACCACAGCATCCCAGGGTAGGGGCGTATGTTGTGGAGGGGGATCATAGGTGACACAGAGGCTGAAGAGTAGGAAGGCCAGTCTTGCTCCTTTAAAACAATTCACTCTTAGAGAAGCAACTCACTCCACAAGACCAAAATTAGTCCCTCCCAGGCCACACCTCAAAGAACCAAGTCACCTCCCACTGGTGCTTGTGAAGGCTCCCGCACCTCTCAACATTACCATGCTGGCACCAAGCTTCCAGCAAATACCTTTGGCACGCACTCAAATGATGTCCAGACTACAGCAGAACCTTCAGCGTGACAGAAGAGTCAACAGAGTGATTATCCCTAAATTTAGGGGAAAACATGATGGTATCGTCATCTTAAATGCAGGTTCCACCACTGTTGCTCTATCCCAGACCAAGCCTCTCCAGACTTTTGTCAGAGTCCTGTCAGCCTCTGACATTGTCTCACATCAAATGTCACTGTTTGACAGCAGGCAGTTGCTCTGTGGCCATCTGCTTTTGTTGCGGGGAGACCCAGTGATCCTCTCCTGGTTTGGGACCCTCTGTCTCAGAGCTGACCAAATGCACCGTGCAGCAGACAATAGCAGGGCCAAGGCCAGCAGCCTAAAGTCATACAGTCTTTTTTTGCAGTCCTAGGGATTGAACCCAGGGCCTTTGCAGTGAGCTACATCTTTGGCCCATTCATTCATTTATATTTTGAGGTGGGGTCTCACTAAATCTCTAAGTTGCCCAGGATTCAAGCTTGGAATCCTTCTGTGTCAGTCTCCCAGAGTGCTGGAATTATAGGCACACACTCTGCTAACTTAATGCATTCTTGAATTAAATCAAAGAATTTGTCATGATGCTTTTCTTACAATATGTTTTTTTCAGTCTCAAATAGTAGGCCTTCCTTAGATGTTTTCAAAATGCACTTCTAATGTGTAACCGTTTAAATGCAATTTGGTGGTGGAGAAGGGAAGGGACATCTCTGAATATGGTGGTGGATGTAACTATGGGGAGCTTTCTGCTTGGTCTAGCATCCTCTTTACATATTGGACCCGAAGGACTCCTGGGCTGTAGTCCATCCAGTAGGTGGCTCATTGTCCCTTCCAAAGACTCCCTGACAGGTTACCTAGCTCAGCCTCAGGTGTTCCTATTCAGAGTGGGAACCCTCTGGAGGCTGTAAAGACACTGCTCAGCACTCTCTGTTTGGTAACGTCTTCTGTTCCTAGCAGCAACATCCTGGTCAACTCTTCAAAAATTCCTTTTTATAATAATATTCATCTTTCATTATTAAAGCTGAGAGGAGCTCTTTCTTCTATGCCATTGGTGGGAATGTAAATTAGCACAGCCTCTATGGAGAACAGTATGGGGGTTCCTCAAAAAGTTAAAACTACCTCATGATCCAGCAATCAATACTATTCTTGGGTCATATCCAACTGAAATTACTCATAATAACCAAGACAGAGAACAAGTCTACTGCCCATCAATAGAAGAAAGGAGAAAGTGCAGTGTAGGTACACAAATTATAAAGAAGTCCTGTCAGTTGCAGCAGAATGGGTGGAATGAGGGGGAACTTACGTTAGATGAATAACTCAGACCCACAAAGAGAGATTCTGCATACTCTCTTGCGTGTTTGGAAACTATGAAAAGTCAATCTGGAAGAGTAATAGGGACAGGGAAGGTACTGGGTATGGTGTGTGGACAAAGGGTACTTGGATATGAGCAATGCACATGACATGATATGTGAGACTATCACACCAAATCCCTGTATTGTGTACAATTAGGATGCATGAATAAAGAATACAAAGGGAACAAGGTAAAAAAATGTAGAAAGGAAGTAAAGGTGGGTGAAAAGCAGAGCAGCATCTGATCTTAGACTTATTTCAGAAGCCCAAGAATATTCATGATTATTAGGAAGAGCACGGGTTTGTCCACATTTGTTAGTGTCTGACCCAGTGCATCCCTAAAGACACTCTCGGGTCTGGCTGAGAAAGGGGAATGTTTCAGTGTCCTTCACCTGCTTCTGTTCTGTTTGTGAGGCAAGTGTGCTATGGCTAATGCATTGTGACTTGATGGTTGTGAGATCACAGCACAACTGTGGTCACAAAAACATGGGAGGAGCAGGAGGATAAGCCTCTCCTTCCACCCTGCCCAGCCCGGCTCCAGAGCGCTGCTGTCCTTGGGTGAGACACCACTGCTCCCCGGTGTGCAGGGCTTACCTGAAGGCCTGGCCTCTATGACGAAGCCAGTGGTGGGTGAGTTGCCAGGGCTGCCCTCAGTCCACTGCAGGGTCAAGTCCGAGGTGGATTTGGTGACCAAGACATCTTTAGGGGAACCTGGGGACCCTGCAGGACAGAGAGAAGAGTCATTGATCTTGAGGGAACTAGTCACACCTTGGTGAGGGGCCAGACCTAGGTTCCTAGGCCTCCAGACAGGATACCGATCCTCACTCTATCATGGACTTCATCCTAAAAATGGGAAGTGAGTTGGGTATAGTGGAGCACACTTGTAATCTCTGCTTTCTAGAAGGCTGAGGCAGGAAGGCCTTAAGTCTGAACAATTTAGTATGGCCCTGCCTCAAAATAAAATATTTAAAACTTAAAAGAAAATAAAAAGGGTTGGGGATGTATCTCATGTGAAGGCCCTGGGTTCAATCCTACCTTTCATAAAAAAAAAGCAGGAAGTGACCAAAAGTCAGAAAGAGATGATACAGTAGAGCACCCAGCACCTGTTCTTCTCCCTAAATATTGTCTTGCTGCTGAGGCCTTTTCAGGGTTTAAACAAAGGCCGAGAGCTTGCTGAATGGAAAGTTCCAAGGTCCTCCTGTGATGTGTGAAAAGTGTTAAATTTTATTTCAGAAATTGGGTTCATTTTGTCTCACAACTTAATCATTCCACAGTTCTGGAAAAGATAGTCACATTTGTGTTCGTGTGAGAAAGATAGATGCAGTCGTGCTTGTCACCCAGCATGGAGTTTGCAAACAAAAGCAAAATTTTGCCTAACACTTCTGTTTGTGAACCAAATTGTTCACGAAGCGTTTGTGAATTGAGATGCCACTGTATTTTCTCTTGCTTATGGTTCCAATAAACAAACAAATGTCCTTGCTTAACGCATAGGAAGTCGCTCACTGGCACGTGAGGAGTCCACTGCAGCAGCTGTACTTGCCTTTGCAGACTTCCATGTTGCCCAAGTGCCCTGAGCTGCTGGGGTTCTGCCCTGCCAGAAGGGCTAGGCTGAGGATCTAGACAAATTCTTAGCTCAGGGAAACTGGAGGTGAGGCTCACCGGTCACCCAAATCCCACTCACCCTCAGCTGGACCGGCCGTGACATTGGCTTGGAGCTCAGGCCCGTAGGTGATGGTCCGTGCTTGGACACGGAAGAAGTAGGTCACTCCCTTGGTGAGGTCACGCACCTTCAACCAGCGTTGCCAATTCCCTTTCACATCCACTGTCACCACCTTGCTCACACCTGGACCAGCAAAAATTAAAGAGAAGGCGCTGAGCCTGGAGAAGCAATCCAGCACTGTCTGATCTGTAGTGATAACCACAACAGCCTGTAGTTGGCTGAGGAAGTGGTTCTTACAATTAAGAGGAGTTTAAGTGGTGATTAGGGCCAATTCTCAGCACAGATAAGTGTAATTAGAATTTAAGCTTGATAAGCAGTGTTAGTGAAGAAAAGAACCAAACCTACAGTGCCTGGGAGAGATGGCCTAACTCACTGGCACCCTAGTAGGAGGGAGGACACTCAATCTAACAGATGGGTGATACGGGTACAGCCACAATTTTGCCTGTCTCAGTACAGGCTCCCCAGATGGCACTGCGGAGAGGGTCCCCTTCCCACACTGCCCTGAGCAGTACCAAATCCTGCATCATTTGTGTAGATGACATGAGCCTCAGGGTTTAGGCATTAGGGAGAGGACGGTATAGAAGACACCCAGAAAGTTACTTGATAATATGAAAGGTAGGCTCTTCCACAAGGGGTTTGTGGCCTGTGGGTTAGCCAACTTGTGGCCCACAATCTCAAAAACTTGTAAGAATGCCATCTGTGGTTCTTGAAGCTAAAATAAAGAAAAAACTGTCACTACAACTGTTAATGCCTCCATTCAAGAACGATGACAGCACAGAGGCAGTGAGCAACGCAAAAGGACTGTTGACTGAATTAAGTACAGCAGCACCCCCCCATCAATGAGGACACATTTCAAGGGCCCCCATGTCTACCCAGAACTGTGGGTATACTAGATACACTAGGTTTTCCCTGGGTGCTCTGCAGTGTTGGCACTTAGTACTAGAGTCAACTTGTCCTTCCTCGCGTGACACCATGGTGCCCCTTGGCACTAATGCCCTTGTATTTTTGGGTTCTTGTAAAATAGGGTTTCCGGACAGCCTCTTGGAAGCTGTGATGGCTTTTAGGTGACAAACGGGTGGATAACATAGAGATCACAGATACACCTGACAAAAGTGCGACTCACATCCCCCTAGAGGATGGGATAAGATGAAGATTTCATCCTATCACGCAGAATGGCACCTAGTTTACAACTTGTGAATTGTTTATTTCTTGAATTTCCACTCAATGTTTCCAGGCCACGACTGACTTCAAGTAATGGGAGCTGCAGGAAGCAAAACTATGGATAAGAAAGTTTATTGTGTAATTAGAAAATTGATATGTAGGGCCGGGGATTTAGCTCAGTGGTATAGGTGCCTGCCTGGCAAGCACTAGGTCGTGAATTCGATCCCCGGTACCAAAAAAAAAAAAAAAAAAAAAAATTGATATTTAGTATCTGTGTGTATTGGGGAAAGGACAAATACTGAAAATTTATTATATAAAGTGGTATTTTTCCAGAAGGGAAAATAAGAGCCTTTGATTAAATAAGTTTGAAGTTAATGCATTTTTAAAAATGTTAAGTAAATTTCTTAACTCTAAGATCTCTCAGAGTTCTCAGTGGGCCAGTCCCTGTTAGGCCCTTCTGGGAGGAGGGCAGAGGATGCAGCTTTTCAGCAAAGTTGACTTCTGTGCTTGGTGGGTGACATCTCTTGCCCTAAGTTAACTGCTGAGTCACTCCCCAGGCATGGCACCCTGGGTGGTCTGCCCTGGTGCAGGAGGTTGTATGGTGCTGTTCAGCTTAGTCATTCGTTCATTTATCTGTATTAGGGTTTAAAGCCAAGGCCTTCCCCTTGTTTGGCACTGTTTCAGAGAAGCTGAACAAAACATCATCTCTGTACCAAATGGACCCACCATTCCCAGCCATCAGAGCAAATTTCCCTAATCCTTAAGAGCTCCAAAATGCCTTCAAGCTGGTTCACTGTTTGTTTCCTCAGTATGTCTCTTATAAAAAAGTTTTTAGCAAATTATCTCCTTCCAAATTATTTCAGAGTGATTTTGGCTGATTTCGATTGACCTTCCATATTTGGGTTTCTGCACAAAAATAGGGCCTTTGCTGCTCAGAGAACCTGACCCCAACCTTATATACAATGCTCAGGAAAGATGTCGTAAGGTGACCAAGAAAACAGGATGACTGTCATCTGAAGATGAACTGAGCCCTGTCAGATTCAAAGTTATTTTGGTAACAACTTCTTTTTCTGATGTCAAAAAATGCCTTTGTTCTCCTCAAAGTAAAAACAAACCATATACAGATTTTGTAAACCTGATCCCACTAGAACCAATCTGACTTTCCCTCTATCTCAAGTTTCTGAATTTTATTTATTTAGCCAATTTTTAAACCATGCCCTGTACTACAAAGCCTCAGGGTGCAACTTCATAAAATACTTCTGTTTAAAACATCTTTTAAAATATAAAAGTAGCTTTGCCTTCAAACTAGATTCCAAAGAACAGGCTGGAGGAGTGCTGCAGGCAGCTCGTGTTCCAGCAGCCTACAGGTCCAGTGGTGTAGTAGTCTGGGTGGTATGGTGGCCCAGCATGTGATGGTGTGGTGCTCTGGTGGCATGGTGGTCTCTGCAGTGGCCAGTCATGGCTGTGGACTCATCTCAGCACACAGGATGACCCAGAACTATCTTTCCAACAGGGTGACAGCACTGGGAAAGGGTAGTGCTTTCTGCTTCCCTTGGCCTGGCTGGTCAGTGCCACATACCAGGGTTTTGCAGTTGTCTGTGTCACAAAGACAAGTGTGAGCATCTGCCAACCACTGCTAGCAGGCAGGACCACTGGTAGACAACCTGCCCCTACTTTTAAAAACCATCTGTAGCACATTTTAAAGATTTTTGCACACAAAGCACACTTTAAGTAGATAGCAGTTCACCTTCACACATACAAACATGTCTGTCTCATCTCTGGCAGTCTTCACAAGAGAACTACCCTCATCGCAGACAGAATACAACTCTACCCCAAACAAAGATGCTGGATGTTTACAAATATGTTTCAAGAAACATGCAGCTTCTAGGAGATATTTTTAATACTGAAAAAGTCATATGGAGATCTGGTTATTATTTCAGCAGTTCCCTGTTGAAATACAGAATCTAATGGTGGGGGCAGGAGGAGTCTTTGGGAGCCCCACTCAAAGGTGCATCTGTTTTGTGGGCTGGGGCACCCCAGCACAGTGATGAGCTTAGCTCGCGCGCCGTGGGTCAGTAGTGACAGATGTGCAGTAATCAGAGAGGAGGGAACATCCCCAAGCCTGCGGTGATTTGTTCTTCATGGTCTGCCTCTGTTGAGAGCGGGACCTGACCTGACCTGCAAGGTGACCTGCAAGGTGAGTGCAGCCATGATGACCAAGAGCTCACCTTCTTCCCCTCCAGTTACTCAGCATGAGCAAGCAACAGAAAGTCACAGAGGGCAGAGCCATCCCTCGGAGACAGACAGGGACAATGCCAGTGACAGACTATCTTATGACTTGTGAAAAGAGGTGAAAATGGTTGTAGATGAAGTGACTCCACCTGTTGTCACTTGGGTAGAGTGACAAGCCCACACCTGCTATGCAGTCCCTGGTTTGTCTGCAGTATGGAGATGTGCTGTGACAGAACCTTCTGGTGCTCCCCTCTCTGTCACTCACATCCACATTTGCTTCCAGAAACAGTGCTCTAGACATTCCCTCTGTATAAGCAGCAGAGACCTGGCTTTGCAACAGGGCCACTTGCATTCAAGTCGCACTTCCCTTTTTCCTTCTCCAAATGCCAGTTTGGAGCAAGTGAACTAAGGGCTCTACAAATGGTTTCTTTGTCCAAGTAAAGGAATTGAGGCAGCAGCTTTAGGATTTGGGGCTGGGACATGCATAGCACAGTGTGTGGTTTGTTATGAGTGTACAGCAAACACTGCCCATCTCTGACCCCAGCAGGGTCTTGTTGACAGAGTGCACACAGAAAGCCACAAGTACACTGAATGCGATGAATGTGATCATCTAATGTGAAATCTTTCAGATGCCCTTTGACTTTTTCCATTAATGCAAAGTGATTGTGAAGATAACTGCCACCCTGGCACTATGTAGGAAACCAGCAACGTGCATCATGTCCCTCAGAGACTGGTAGCACCAGCAGGGTGGGAGAGATTTTGCAGTAACCTAGGAACAATTGAGAAGAGCAGAAATGCAGAGAGGAGGGACTCACAACATGATCCAAGATCACACGTGGAATTTCCAACTGAGGATTCTTCCATCTTGTCTGGGGAGCAACTGCTCTTGTGTAAGACTAAGAATAGCTGCCCAGGGGTTGGTCAGGGGTGCATGCTGTGGGGTTCTTGAGGTTCTGCAGCCCATTTCCACAGGACAGGGCATCCTAGTGAGGTGCTTATTTGAGGAAGAATGAGAAATCTGTGTTTGATTGGGAAGGACTCATAGGTAAATTGGAAACCCTGTCTTTTAGTAACCATTTCTCATTTCAATGGATCTTTTTGGTTAATCTCCTTGAAAAGGCATTTATAACATGGGCTCATGAAACATGAACTCGTGTGTGTGTTGGTGTGTGTGTGTGTGTGAGAGGCAAGATGGAAGGCCTCCCTATGGAGTACACAGAACAACAGGTGGGTCTCCCTCTGCACCTCTGCACCCAGGACCTCAAATGAGCCACATCAAGGCCACGCAGTTCCCAGACACAGAGCACAACTGAGCAGGGGCCACAACTCGATAGCCCTCCAGTGCTTGCTGTGCACCTTGAGAACACCAGGTCCACAGATCACCCCAGAGTCCTGAAGCTCATTGATCATCTCAGGCACACTTTGTTTTTCTTTCTCAATGTTCACATCTCTCATTTGGGAAGCAGCTCAGAATTTGCAATACAGAAGTATTGGGCCATAGTTTATTGGAAGCATTTTTTCTTCCTTAGCATGTCATAAAGTGACAATGAATCTTACAGTCAATGGCATCTTAGATTTGGTGAAATAAAATCCGGTGCTTAAATGTCCTCCTTCAAATCACCTCCCTGTTTTATCTGAATGCGCTTATTTTAAAAGGAAACTTTTATCACTGCTTTAAATGGAGTGCCAATATTATTTGATGTACTGGTTATATTTTTTCTACTAGACATGAAATAATCTATATTTACAGTCTGTCTGTGTACATTATTGGGGGGAACCTGCCCTGTACCATGGGGCAGAAACAGCTGGGCTCTTCTCTATGTGTACAATGGGGAAAGAAGAAATGCCAGTGGGTACATCAGTAATTCAGTGGACAGACAGGTGGCCCCAGACAGAACTAAAATAATATGGAGACAGATGACACTCTGACCTCACAGGTGCCCCTCCTGCAGCCCTGGGGTGGATCCCATTGGCTCTGCCCTCAGGACACACCCTCCTCATTACTTCTGCCTCCCTTACCCTCTGCCCACTGCCCAGCTCCCTGCGGCCCCAGCTGCTCTCTGAGGTTCTGACTTCCTTGATCCCTGCAACCTATTCTCCTGGCCACCAACTGGATTTCATCTTTGGTTTTTATCTATTATGCATTATCAAGCCATTGTCGTCCTCAGCTCGGGTTCCTTTGTGTCTCTCCCTCCACACTCTCAGGAGGGCCTGCTTCTGATTGATAGAGGACTTTTTAGGGTGATCAATAATCCTCTTTGTGTTCACAGCATTCAGGGTGATATTTAGCCAGGACGACCTGGCTTTGTAGCAGTTGGTCCTCACACTCCACTTTCCTTCCCCAGGAAACTCCAGATCACCTTGGGAAGCTTTGGTCCGTGGCATGCTTTCCACAGGGTGACAGTGAACCTTACCCTCTCAGGATGGTGCACATGTAGACCTCTGCCAAAGGTTTTCCCTCAGGCATTTGTACTGCGAGTGGTCCCTCACTCCTGGTGCCTTCCCAGGCCCACATACTCCTATTACCTCATCCTTCTTCCTCAAAGCACCCATCACTGTTGGACTTTTGGTTGCTGATTTAATTATTTGTGTGTTGCCTCTTTTCCTGGAGTAGAATCTCTGGATTTGGGAGAACAGGAATCTCAGTGCATAAGTCAATGAGGATCCTCGCTTTCCTGGGTCAGTGGATTCTAGCACTTAAACAGTTCTTGGCATGCAGCAGGTGCTTAGTAAATAACTTCTGTGTGAGTGGGAAATGGAAGGGATGCTGGGCATTTGCACCTTTTTCAAAATGTAGATGGTATCTGGAAGGTCAGTGTTGGAGTAGAATTCAGAAGTCTTTTGTCTGGGAAGGTAAGGACTAAAACCTCAGGAAGGGGAGAAAAGAGACATTTGGGTGTCAGGGAGTAGGTCAAGGAATGTTTCTGGCATGATTCCATGGGGCACACATCACCCTAGACTTGGACACGAAGGGCTGTCCTTTCGGGGTCCCAGAAGTGAGGGAGCATGGTGTCTGCCCTTGATCCCTCTGCTCTTACCTTGGACAGGTGCCAAGGGCTCATATACCACTCGGTAGCCCTGAAGAACACCGTTGGCTGCTACCGGCTCCCCCCAGGACACATTCAGTGTGGTGGAGGTGATTTCTGAGAATGCCAGGAAGCTGGGGGCCCCAGGAGCTGGAAGAATGGAGAACACTGCAATGACTTTCACGAAGGCAGCTTTATGGATCACACGCACATGTCTGTGCCTCCATATAGGAAAGGAAATGTTATTAGGTGTTATTTTCAACCTACTAAAAGTCTAAATGCCACTGAATGAAAAGGAGACTCATTGATCACCTCCAAACTTCCTAGGATCAATCAGAAACACAGGGCAGAGAAAATGACAGAATCAAACACAAAGGAGCTGGGGGGTGAACTGACAAATGCTTGAAAATGAATAATGGATGGAAACAAAATGAAATGCAGATGGCAGTTTCCAGAGTCTGCCGGAAGGTTCCAGGGATTCTTGCCCTGCTCTTTTGGGGACAGGTAATGCTCAGAAGTGGACAAGACCTCTTCTCATCCCTTTTTTCCTCTCCTCTTCACCTCTCCTCTCCCCTCTCACAGGGGTCCAGAGGTCTCAGAGAACTCCTGTGTTCCTCCATCTAAACCCCTTGGGGGCTCAGATGGCCGTGTAGGGCTGAGAGAGGATGTGGCTGGCTGAGCAGTTGAAGCTGCTGGTGGAAAGGAAGGCTAGTGTGTGATTGGGAGCCTGGCCTGGACTCTGTGCAGATGGGCACGTACTGAGGCTGTCTTCTCACCCCCCTAGCCTGATGGCACCTGGCCTCCCCATTCCCACACCTCTTGCTGCTTGGATGCACTCATGAAGTAGCACCATCTTTTTCTCTGCTCTGTCCTGTCCTTGGGTCCTTTAGTCCATGAATCACCACATTCCAGTGTCCCAAAGTGGCCCAACCCTGCACTCTACTCCACCAAGCTACCCACATCCTTTCAACTCAGATTCCCAAACTGGCTTGTGGTACTGGATGAGGAAAGGAGGCAGCCCTGGCATGCTGGCACAGCCATCTCCTGGACAAGCTGCCAGGCATCCTGGCCAGGGATGTCTTCTGGGTGGAGTGTCAGTCTGCCGACATTGCCCATAGAACACTGGGGATCCCTGATCTCTGCTTCTTCATCCACAGTCTCCCAACCTGGATCTCACAAAGGATCACCCAGAGCCCCAAGACCCAAAGCTGGGCTGCTGTTTCCTGGGGAGACTTCTGATCTCCAGGCCATTAGAAACTGAGATGCACTGGAAGGGTAGCCTGTTGTACACTTGCCAGGCCCTGTTTGGTTCAAGGCTCTCAGCAGCACAACTCCATAGCACAGCTCCATCAGTGCTCTCAGACCTGGCCCTGGTGTGTGCTATTCTGAGGGCCCAATATCTGGTTTTGGGGCCTGGCTTCAATGTACAAGGAACTCAACCCCCAGCGACCTGCACAAATGACCAAGTGGCTCTGCACAGCATCTTGAGTATCAGGATTGAGGCCAGGCTGTGAACACAAAGCCCTTTCTCCCTCTGCTGCCCTCTTGAACTCCAGAGAAAACATGTCCAGCTCCCACCATTGTCATCTAGCACTGACCTAGCACTGTGAAAGACCAGGCACTGGGAGGCATGAATCACCCCCAGTCCTGCCTCTCTTCTCTAGATCCCCAGCTGGGACTGTGAAGGACAGGCAGAGCAAAATGCTGTGCAAACTAAGAGAGTTCTACCATGGGGCCCAGAGACAACCAGGGAAGTGACACAAGCCAGAGATCTCACAGTCAGTCTAACTGAGGCCTGCAGAGAGCAAACAGGTGTCTACCTACCGGCCTGATGGGTACGCCCCTGCCGGGGGTCGCTCCTGGGCCCATCACCAGCAGCGTTGAAGGCAGATATGCTGACCAGGTATTTGGTGTGGCTGGTCAGGTTCTTAAGCTTCACTGTGGGCTCAGGGAGGAACAGGACCTTCATCTTCTCTGTTTCGTTCCGGTTGCCCGCCTCCCAGTAGTAGATCTACCAGGAAAAGATGAGGCTGAGGGTGAGCATGAGAAAGCCCCCAGATGAGGCTGTCCTGTATCCCAGGAGGACTGTGACAGCCCTCTCCTGAGGGACCAGGAAACATGGGGGCTGGTGAGCTAGATGCAGGTCCTTGGTGCTAGTGCTGTCAGCCAATGGGTTGTGCTTCTGAGTTTTCAGCTGCAGTCTAAGCACCACTCAGTCAAACTGGTCAAAGTGGGGCCTGAGGACAGAGGCCTTTTCCATTCAGCCACTAGTCCTGGGCCTGAGCTCACCCAGCTGGGTCTCTGTCTTGTCCCACAGGAAGGTGATCACCCACTGTCTAGCCCTGCTGTGACCCATCCATAGAATCAGCCTTGAACTACCATCCCTATGTTCTCACATTTTGTTCAAACCCTATATCTTAATATTTGGTCAGTGTGACAAAAATACTTTGGAAATTAAAGCAGCAAAATAACAAGAGATCAGAGCTAGGGACATAGCTCAGTGGCACAGTACCCACCTGGCAAGCACAAGGTGGAAAGGAAAAAAAGTGGTACTGGAAAAAAAATCACAAGAGATTCACACTGGGCTCAGAACTGGTGGGAAAGCCCATGCCTCCCTTGGGTAGCATTTCCTCTCAGTTAGCTCTGACGTGCTTGTAGGTGAACCTCATGTCTAAGTACAAAGGTTTGAGTTGGTTGCCAGAACCGCTTCCCTAGACAGCTGGCCAGAAACCGCTCCAGCCAGTGCCAGCTGAGCTGCCCAAAGACAACACGAGTCTGTGGATTCATCTTGGCTCATGGGCCTAAGCCTGAGCCAGGCCCCAAGAGCAGTGTGCCTCAGGTGTAAAAGCAACACAGAGGTTACATGGGACACTGGAAAGTTGGGGCCAGCATTCCATCTTGCACATACCCAGGTCACACCTGTGAGGAGCAAGGCCTGACTGGTGACCATGGCTGATTTCCATCTGCAAGAGACTGGGAAGCTGATCAGAGAGGATTCTGCACTCACACAGCCCCAGCTAACTTGTAATCAATATCCAAGTTCAATGTCTTCATCATTAAGGAAATGAGAAAACATATTTTGGACATACATAAATAGCACCTGGCCTCCAGTCACAGGACCTTCCAGTAACTCATTAATCAATGTAAAAGCCCTGCTATGGAGGAAGGTATTAATTTTCATAAACACTTACAAAAATCATTTTTAAATGGACATTTAATTGTCCCAATAGTCATCAGGGCAGGTAAGCCCAGAGAATCTGGTAACTGATCACCCAGGGCTCCTGAGGCCAGATGAGGACATTAATTCTGGGGAAGGTTGTGGGTGTTTTCTGCAGGGGGCTTTTGTGGGTATTCAGAGCTCTTAGGTCTTAGGGTAGGGAAGCAGCCAGGTGTACTTTGCTGCTAGATAAACCACTCTGTGTAATCATCCCTCCCTGATATGTGGTATATCTGGCTGCCTTTCTTTTCCTCCATCTTCACAGAATTTAGTTATCTTAGTTCAGAGGTTCTCAAAGTAGGGATCCCAGAATCCATACCACCTGCAAACTCATTAGAAATGCAATTCTCAGGCTCCCTCCCAGAGTCTCACTCAATGAATTGAGAGTAATGTTCAGTAGTGATCCAGGGCAACGCTGGCATGCAGAACATATTTTCTGTGAGGACACCCTGTTTCCTGCTGCTATCAGCAAATGGGCTGGAGGCTCTGGAGTAGACACAGAAAGAAGCCGGGTTCTCACTGCAAGGCTAAGTGTCCAGAGCAGGAATAAGCCCTCAGCACTTTTGGATGAGCTGAAGCTACCACCTGGGTTGCTCTGTGATGGGCATAAAGTACTCCCCTACTCACCCCAGCAGCTTTGACCTAGGGCCTGGCCTCCAGGCTGTGTCTGCTGTCCATCTGCTGCTGAGAAAGCAGCAGGGCACAGTGAGGCAGCACCCTGGAGCAGAGCCAGTATCCCAGCTGAAGCCTCGGGCCTCTGTGGGGCACACAGTGAGCAGAAGGAAAAGCCACCCCCACCAGCTTGCCTTGTAGCCCTGGATGTTCCCGTTCTGGCTCTCTGGAGGTGGCGGGTCCCATGTGACCTCCAGCTGGCTGGCTGTGAGTGGGGTCACCTGGATGTTCTGTGGGGCCATTGCTGGGGCTGAGGAAAGAAGGGGAGACAAGGGTAACTGGGATGTCCCTTCATGAGCCAGCTGGGACTACCACCACACCCCCTCAGGGATCACATAAGTCCTAATTCCCTGGAGGACAACCTTTGGAGACAGTGCCCTGGACATTGCCCAGCTTGGGAAGCCTCAGGCACAACCACATGCCAGCTCCACACTGTGTCGCTGCAGATTAGAGCAAACCCTTTGCACCAGAGTATGCTACAAGCCCTCCTAGAAGAACATTCCTAAATCCACAAAGTAAAATAAATAGAATTGCAGAAAAGTCTCACGTCTCTAGGTAAGTTAACCAAACATTCAATGACAAACATATAGGTGAACACAGGGCGCAGGCTCAGGGAATGGTCTGACATCTACTGCAAGATAAAAGCAGCCGTCAGCGTCAGCGTGGTGGACACCTGGGGGTCCCAGAGATAGCTGGGGGATGGCCGCCACAGATCCTGCTGTGCCAACATTCCTGTTCCTGATTGGAGAAATGCTGAGTTTGTGGCAGAGGGTACAGAAAATAAAGACATCTGTGCTGCTCTCACAAGCTTAGGTGTCCTGATTATAAAGCCCCATTCTAGACAGAGATAGTATAGAGTTATCACTCCTCCCTGAGGACCAGCAGTCAAATTTCTATGAATTTCTATGAATATGAATTCAAGTTGCTCTGAGGTCTGGTCTGACTACAAATTCTGAGCACCAAATTCTGAGCACTTCTTGCCCTCCCAGTGGGAGGTGATCCCTTGGTATCATGTCAAGGTCACGGTGAACTGTGGGTGCCATGTTCTGGAACATTTTTGTCATCTCTGTTTTTCCAGCTTCATGCTGCTTTTTAAGTCCATACTGGGCACCTCCTCATGACGATCTGTTCTCTGCCCCCTGGGAGCTACTCCCTTCCATCACCCAGACACTCCTGGTGGAAGCTGGGGCCACGCTTGACCCTGGCGAGTTGTCTGGAGTTTTTCTTGGGTTCCTGGCTCTGGGAAAGCAGAAGCTAGCTGAGTCCTCCTCACCTCTTGCAACCTTGGCCTGTGCTCCAGGAATGCCAGCTGCCTTTGGATTCAATCTGTTTATAAACACAGGTGACCAAATGGTCACTGCCCGGGGAGATGGCCAGCACCTAGGCTGAGAGGCCTACAGGGCAGAGAATGACCCCATAAGTCACCCTCCCCCAGTGCCCCTTCCTCACTTTCTGCTCCCCCCTCCATGTAGAATAAAATAGTAATTAACACCCGCTCAGCCTGACACGACTATTTATTTTGTTCTAACTGTGTGGTTTCCATATTATCACTGCCCACCCTGCCGTTAATGGAAATGTTAATAACCCGCACCAGGTTGCTGTGACAGATGCTCAGCCTCATTATCAGAAATTCTTATTTACCGCTCCATTAAACAACAGAATCACACAAAAAAACAATTCAATCAAAACTAACTGGAGGAATTTTAACAGCCACATTAATAATCCAAAACATAAATAAAGTTAATGTCTTTTGCATGTTTGCCATCGGCAACTCTATTGCAAAATTACTGTTGTACAATTAAAATGTGAAAGGCAAAATTGAGCATGGCCATTACTCCAGTTGTGGGTTAGGAACCCCCCAACATCCCTAAGGGTTTCTTTACATAGACTCAACCAAACCCAGTGCAGCAATATCCCTGGACTTGCATCCATCTGTAGGAACTGGCAGAATTCATATGCTGCAGGCAACCCCCCTCAGCCCGTACCCAGGAGCCCATGTGTCTCTTGGCTGGGGTTCACACACACTGGACAAATGCCCTGGTGCCATTTCAGGCAGCTGAGATGCTTCCGTGTTCCCGCTGACTATGCTGCAGTATGGTGCTTTGTGCTATAAAGATTCTGCAGGTAACAAAGAATTTTTTTTGTTGAAGACACATGCAGGGAAGAGAGAAATGTATGTAAACACTGAGCCGAGCTTGTCAGTTTTGAGATTCTTTTTTTTTTTTTTTTTGGCTCCTGAAAACTGCTGGATCTCCAGCCTGATAGGAGAACTTGACTTTCAGGAAGGCCCTGCTGTTCCCAACGCTGAATGCAAGCCTCATTCAAGGAACACATGTGCGGTTGGGGAGTCGATGGAGTACTGGCTCAGTCACTGTCTTTTTGTTTCCTTATCTTAACATTTGTGGCACAAGGAGAACACAAATAACAGCCAGCATATTCCTTTAAAATGCATGAAATTATTTTTCAAAAGCATTTTAAGCAGCAGTTTCTGGATTTGCTGAATCATAGATTGCCTACAAAGAGCATCAGAGGTGAATGGAAAGGTTATGGTGTAAGGCTGTGATCTGCTCTGTAGGTCTCACACAGAGCTGATGATGCTATGACAGAACTATCTGCGTCCAGTCCCAACAGGATTGTTCCTGTACCTGCACCAGGGCAATGGGACGACTTTGGAGAGAAACTTTATTAACTAGTAACATAGAAGGCTTGGGGACTTCCAGAGGCATCCTGTATTTGACAGCTATAAGCAGTGTTCTAGAGGTTTCTGAAATTTTCTGGAATCCTGCCTGGTTGCTTGGGGAGACCTACTACATTGGGTGCTGTGTGCTGAGCCAGACTACAGTCTGGCTCTCCCTGGACTTGCTGCCTCTACCAGGAAAGGGTGGGGTGGAGGCTGTCGGGGAATCCCCACAAAGCAGTTACAGCCGCACTCCATCTACCTCACTCAACTCTGGGCTGGCTGCCCAGGGTGGCCATCAGTTTCAGCTGGATCAAGAAACAGACACTGAAGCACTGGAGACACTGTCCCCAGCTCAGTCTTCATTTATTTTTTTCTTTTCTTTCTTTTTTGTCTTTTTGAAACAGGGTTTCACTATGAATTCAGGCTGGCCTTGAACTTACTTTGTAGCCCAGACTGAACTCCCAGCAATCCTTCTGCCTCAGCTTCCCAAGTGCTGGGATTACAGGCATACACGACCACACCTAGTCTTATTTTCTGTTTATTCCAAGTTCTCTCAGATCTGATTGACCCTACTGCTATAGGACCCGGTACCCCATCTGGACTCAACCCTCTCCTCGGAGCGTAGGGGCCTCGCTGTAGGGAAGAAGCAGATCGCACCAGCACATTCAAAGGAAAGAGAAGTGTTCCATGTGGTCTCAACCACCTGTGATTAACATTGGTCCAAAAATCCTAAATGGAAAATCCAGGAAGGCCATATTCAGGTAACTTTTGTTACGATATAGTGTTATAACTGCTCTATTTTATTATGAGTTGTTGTTAATTGCTTACTGTGTCTAGTTTATAAACTAAACTATATCATGCATATACACAGATAGAAAAACTTAGCATATACAGTGCATTGACAGTTTCAGGTCTCCGCTGGCATTTGGGATGGAGCTCTGATGATGAGGGGATCCTGGAGGATGAGGGACAGCTGCACGTGGCCTTTGGCAGGGCAGCAGAGGTCGGAGAGAGCATGGGAGGTTTCAGAGTTGTAGGAATTGATTCTGCAGTGAGAAGGATGCTCATTCATTCAGTTCTTCACTCTCCCCTTCAGATATCCACTCCATGGCAAGTTTGAGACCAATCTAGGCAACTTAATGACTTAGTGAGACTCTATCTCAAAATAAAATTATTATTAAAAATGTCTAGGGGTATAGATCAGTGTGAAGGCTTTGCTGGTTTCATTCCCTGGTAATGCAAAACAAAAATATACTTCCTATGGTGGGAGATTCATCTATCGACTTTAGACAGTGGCAGACCTGTGGGACTTGTAGTGGCCTCTGCTAACTCCATGGACTACAAGATCCTCTGTGATCAAAGATACAGGAATAGCAGCAGCAGTGCATGGGGACAGTGAAGAAGGGCTGCCACCTCGCAGAAGCTCCAGAGCTTCTGCTCTGTGAGGGCTATGTGGCCACAGCCCCCCTTTCTCACATCCGCTAGACTAGATGAGCCTTGATCTAAAATAGTGAGCAGGAGGAAGGGAGGCATAGCAAACTCTGACGGCAGGCCACATGGTGGTGAGTGGTCATGTGGGTGTTGGGGCCAGTGAGGTCTGAGGCTTCATTTCCTGAGTGCACATTTGCTGGACACTTCTTGGATGTTAACTTGGCCGTGGGCTTAGCACTGGGGTTGGATGGATACACAGATGCAAAAGACAGTTTAACAAGGGAGAGAAATTACAGTAATGATAACACAAGGTAGAGGTGAGCACACACTCACAGAGCCAAGAGAGACTGCTTCTTGCTGGGGATGTGTGTGTTTCTAGAAGACAGAACATTTGGCTTAAATAATGGGGACAATTTACCATGGGACAGTGGACCAGAAAGCAAGGGCACTTTTGGAGGTGGGAAAGGAAGGAGCAGAAGTCCAAAGTGAGAAAGCTGGTTCACAGTAAGCAGACCATCATCCTGTTCTAGGGCCGCCCTTGGCCACAGCAGGTAGCTACTACTGCCAGGGTCATCTTTGGTCATGCAGGGCTGCTGCTGCTGCTGAATCACCTTGGTCATGCTGAACACCTGCTTCTGCCAGATGCATGTTAGAGTGACAGACCACACTAGTTTTCTACTTTCAGTTGTTTTGGTAGGACAGGTTTTAACTGATAATTTGAGCATCATTGTTAATGCTTTACTATAATGAAATAAGTATTTCTTTATATAATTAAAATTCTATACTCATCAATTCACTATAATTACATCAACATTTTCCTGGTCAAATATTCTCTCTGACTTCTCGTTAAGTAAACAGGAAACAGAATTCTCTAACTAGTTTACCTCCTCTGCAGATTTTCCCAACCTATCTGTTCTCTGTAGCAGGGATATCTGGAGACATGCTCTAGATCTGGGTAATTTATGCCCTCTGGGGCCTTGTCCATGCATAAAGGGGTCTAAATGCAACATAGAGAGCAGCATCTTGATGCAAGAGTCAGAAAGTGAGGATTTGGTGGTCTAGGTGAGTGAGCCAGGAAACAGAAACTCCTGTCAAGAGAACAATCCCAAGAGCAAAGCATCTGAATGGCTGCTGTCCTG